CACATACACAAGCAAACATACCATAAATATTTACAACTTTATCACACATGGCATTAGGTTGAAAATATTTAAGTAGATAGTTCATAATAATAATTCACACAGATGTTGACAAGAAAAGCATGTTAATTTAATTGGCTAACAAAATCAACATAACAGGCCTTACCGGCCTCAACTAACAAAGGGCTAGGCAAGCTAACGGCTAGTTGCTAAGCTAGTGTGGCTACGTCGTAGGCATGATTGCTTTCATCCAGAAACAGCAAAATACACAAATCATCATTAGATAAATGACCAAATGTGATATGATAAAGTGTGCACCTTGTTCTTTAAATATCCTGTTATCCACTGGCCTGCCTTCAAAGTAATAATAAAAAAAAAACCTAAAACATTTAATAATAAATGGATCTTTTACAAAGGTATACAAATATTTAAGTATTGTTAGAAATACATAGTTCCTATGTGACAGGACACCTGATCTGCCCTTTGTGGTTGCCTATGAAACAGGTGTTTTGTCACTGCTTACAGTCAGAAACAATGAGGTTTCAAATCTTCTGCAGATCAGGGTTGGGGTTCAGCTGTTACTAATGACAATGAGGACCTCCTAACCTGTAAGGTTAGTGACCTCCAGGTGAATGCCACCAACCCTCTTCTATCTCCATCTCATCTCGGGTCTACAGCCCCACACTCGAGTCAGGATTCAATTACGGCTGCCTGGATGACCTTTGACCTCTCCTCCACCAGGATGAACCTCCTTTTCTGACCCTGGCAGTCGCACCTCTGTTAACCATCCCAATCATTCGCTCTTTAACCCTCAAACTTCTCCAGTGTCCTGCCTCCGAAACGACACCTTATTACTGTGTCTCGTGTTAAAAGAAAGTCGACAAATACTTGCTCCACAAATTCACTTGATACTAGTTTTTTAATTCAGTTCAATTTAAAATATTTAATCATAATGTTTGGTTAGTGTTGCTGAAGTGTTGCTTCAGTTTCATCATCATTACAAAAATTAACTATTACAATCGTGTTTGGTAGTTTCTATTTTCCTGTATTTCCAGATCGATCTCTCAACCTTGCCCTAAGCTGCAGTCGATGGTTGTTAAGCCATCGCTGTCTCTTAATCACAACACAGATACCTGTTAATTACCAAACGAGTTCAAGTGTTTTTGCTACTTAAACAGGGCTTTGAGATCGATGCGTTGCTTTGCCCCAGGTCGAGTTGTGAGCACAGATGACCATTTAATGAATCATTGAAGAAGATGAAGAATCGGAGGATAAAGCGATGGGTGTATTAATAGGCAGCTGCACGGACGACACTGTTTGGTATTGGGTCAGGGATAAAGTATGAACTTGTAAACTCACACAGGGGCTTCTCCTCCCTCCCTCCCTCTTGCTAACTCTCTCTCGCCCTTCGTGGTGTCATCAGTTAGCAGAGCGGGGCTCAATAGCACAGGCTGCTTCTACGAGAGCAGCGATTAGACATCTCTCTGATTCTCATCCCCAGCAGAGTTCACTCAAAGGTAAGCCAGTAGTTATCATCCTCAGAGACACTGGTTTTCCTCTGCCTTTGTTCTTCCCCATCATTCGGTTTTCTAAACACTTTATTTATTCCATATGTCACGTTTCACAATTAAAGAAGATAATGGACCCAGGTGCAGGCTAACAATGTGATTTATCTAAACAAAGGACAAAAAGGCAAAACAAAATCACCAACAAAACAGGATAAAATCACAAGGAGCAACAAGGACAACTGAACTGGAAACACTGGTATTCAAGACAAAAAGCCATTTAGCACCTCTGGGAGGTAGACATAATGAACTGACATAGAGGGGAAGGATCATAGAGCCTAAATACACACTGGGGTAATCAAACGCAGGTGAGACTAATGACACAGGTGAAAACAATCAAGGTGGGGAACACAATCCCAGTGGAGGGAAAACACACGAAGGCAGGAAGCAGAACTAGACAAGTCACATTGGGGGCAAGAACTACAAAATAAAACAGGAAACACTAAAACTAAACTCAGACTGGATAAATTCAAACAGGGAATTGAGTAACACCTGGGTATTAAATAAAAACAGGAAAGACCAATAATCAAACTCAGGGCTGTGAAACCATGTGTTTGACTTGGAGTTGGTGTTTCATGTCATCTGTTAACAATAAAAAAATAAACAAACCGAATGCAAAATACTTCAGACTTTCTATTATATATAATTAATAATTACTTTGTAAAAGCCATCCCCTCCAGTCTCAAGAGGTGTCCCTGATGAGAACTCCTCCCCCTATATTTCCACTACTGTCCAGTAGCTGCGACAGAGATAACCAGTGGGCTGCAGAGTTTATTCCACCCGCATGGCATCTAAGGTGTGTTCCCATTGGGCCGTTTTGCGGGGATCACTGCAGGCAGTGGGAGGTTAATCCCAAGAGAACGCAGGCTCAATCTCCCCCACCTCCAACCTGCACCCAGGAGCCTCATATCCCCTCCTGTATAATGACCCAACATAGCTGTGTGGTCTGTGGCTGACACCTACCCAAATTTCACTTCTGCCTTTGGCTCTCAGATTTATACAAGTCCTATTAATACCAATAAAACCTCAATAACAGAGGGGGCAGGTGAAATCTTTCATATTTTACTATAATATCAATTAACTGCATAAAAAATATACATTAAACCAAGGAACATTAAAGCTTAAATTATCGTTTTGTTGCCCTCCGAAATATCACCAGTAATAGATTTGATTACTCGCAGCATCATCAAGGCTTAATTGTTAACTTTGTTGTTAGCCAATGAGAGTAATCACATATTTGTAGAAACTGTATGCCTTCCAGTATCCATTTATGAGAATTAGTCCTGTTAAAACATGTTTGATATACATTTAGTTTGTTGGAGCCCTGATAAATTATTTCAGATGGCAGAATATGCATCTGTTTTTCCCTGGAGTCTTTCACACATATCTGTGTGTAATTAATGTGGATATTGACAGATGGAGGGAAAAAATGTCCTTGTAAGAGAGAAGGGTACATGCCACAATGTGTGAAGTGCAAGCATGGAGGGAGCCTCTTGTGTTATTTGCTGCCGGTGCCAGCTGGACCAGCCAAGTTCTTACAGGTAGAAATTCAAGCAGTAAATGTGCGCAGAAATCGTTGAAATACAGTGCCCACCTAAAATAGTCCATGATTTTGTTGTTACAGTTGAATCCGAATGTGAAATGTTCTTATGTTGTTCTAAATTTGGCTTCTGAAGATCTAAGCCTGTCCCATACACTGTATCTCCATCCATGGTAACTTACGTGAAATATCCTATAAAGTGCTATTCCTTTCTGTGATAATTGTGACTGCAGGTCATTTTTAATTTCAATGCTTAAATAACCTCTTAGACTGTTTGTGTGTATCTGTGTGCATGTGTGTGCTGTAATGTTATTTCTGAATACATCAGGGTCTGAATTAAATATTAGTGTAACTACATTATCACAGTGTCTTTGCCTGGTAGCAAACATGTACAAATGAGGATTACAACTCTTCAGAAGGCAACAGGTCATGGTTGGTAAGCTGCCTGGGGGGGTCACTGATATAGAGTCACTTTTGACAGGCTGTGGAGGAGGCTCTATTGTTGCTGGTGTGTCTGGATGTTACCTGCAGGCACTATCGCTGAGACTACAGTATTATCCTATTATTAGGCTTAGTTGTTTACGCTTATTACTGCTTGTCAGGTAGGCAGAGAATCCTTCTGGAAATGAGCATCTGCAGAAAAATACATGACTACTTCTTTATCTCATTCAAGTACATCGGCTTACGATAATATTTCAGAGCCCTTTAAGAAGAATGTCGAGGACTCAACAAACAGAAATTTATGGCTCATGTTTACACACAGGCATTTTGATTCTTTGAAATGTTTGGTAGTCAGTGTTAGGGTGTAAGAAATGTTGCATCTGTTTTATATGCATTAAATATGATATCATTATGCTGCATTATATGTTAAGAGAGGAGAACGTGACTAGAAACAGCCCTCATTAATGTCTCTGTTTGTAGAGGAAGTGAACAAAATAAAAAAAGCCCATCATATGGTCTGGCAGATTTTAGGCACACGACCAGGGATGACAAATGTGCTCTCGCAATAATTCAATCTGCTCTCATAATTCTCTAACTTTTAGGGACAGACAGAATGAAGATTTTCCGGCAGTTAAGCCGCCAAGTCAACGTCCAATAACTGTGATCAAGTGTTAGTTAAGATGCTTTTTCTCTCACTTTATCTATTGACAGATTGAGGGGTACAAAGATACTGTGTAAGTGGCAGAAAGTTACTGTGAATATGTTAACGAGAGGATTGGGTGTTGGATCCAAAATCCTGTCATTTTATTGATGTCACAGTAATGATATTAAGTTTGCGGATAACAGAGAGGAGACAGAGCTGTGCTTTGGCTTTTAACAGCATGTTTTATCATCTTTGCAGATTATATATATTTTCATGTCCATCATCTTTTTACTCCTGTTTAATTTCATGCATTGTGGAACACATTTGTCTCCTGTAATGTGTTTTTTCTAAGCAACATTTTGGCCTTGACAGCTGAAGTAAGACTGTTACGATTGTGTGTCAAGCAAACAAAAGGCAAACCCAACCTTCTGGTATGAGCTGGTTTTTGTCAGCTTTGTGCACCCACTTGACAAATCAAGTGACAGCGTAAAAAACAAACCACAAATATTTTGAATAGAACAAAATTCACACTTTGCAGCATTTTTTTTATTTACTTACAAAAAGTCAAAGCTATGATAGTAAAGGGAGGGCGTGTTTTGAAGTGTTTAAACAAAGTGGGGTTCGCTGCAGAGATGGCTGTCGAGCCTTGGGCTATGTGATGCACAAACAGCACATGGCTGTGTTTAGAAAGCAAAAGGGATCAGGTGCCGTTGTTACTGGAGCTGCCTCTGGGCCAATCACTGTGTGTGGCACTGTAGTAAAGCACATTGTCTGTAAACCAAGTCCTAATATATCACTATGTTTGTGTTTGCAGGCTAAGGTGTATGTTCTGGTGATGGTTGATCCTGATGCTCCAAGTCGCAACAATCCAAAGGCTGCTAACTGGAGACACTGGCTGGTGGTGGACATCCAGGTACAGTGAGTCTGTAAAAACCTCCACTCTCACTTTAAAAACAGCCTCATCTTTGCGACACAGACACAGTGTTTGTTATTGGATTAGGAACTCATGTGGTATAACATTTTCAAAGTAGTGTTTGGATATTTTTTCTTGAAAATTGTGCATTTTCATAATCTCTAGGTCTCTCTTGGCATGTCTCGTGTTTACATCTGCACTGGGGCCGCTCGCAAGGGCTGAAAAATTATGAATGGTTTTTTTAGCCTAACTTGGTGAAAAAAGGATGCCAAGTTGAAAAAATGTTAATTTTTCATATCATGTATCTTGTGCAATAAATGCCTGTGACAAAAGTGTGGGAGTAAGTCTTTCTAAATGGCTGTGAAAGTTTGCAAGGCCCTGTCAGCAGCAATTTCCCTCTGCTGCAGAGAGCCCGGGACGTGTCAATGCAGGCGTGTGAGACTGAGATTGAGGAGAGCAGCATGTGAGGCGCACACTCTTTCTCCCATAGAGCTCCAGTCCCTCAGCTCCCCCTCCAGTGGAGAGATCTTGGCAGAGTGTCCTCCCTTCATCTGTTCCCCCAGGCAGAGCAGCTCCCCCAATGATCCACACTTCTCCATATTTTACACCCCCGAAATGGGCACGGCTCCGATCCCCTTATTTCTCTTCATATTTCACTCCTTTTCATCCTTTCGTTTGTGTGTTTTCACAGTCTTGCATTCTAACGCCAAATGCGTGTTGAGTTGTTGATTGCCTCAAATATTTGGAGGTTTGCAGACATTTTTTAATCCTGCGGGAACCGGGAGATCAACCCAGTAGATTAAGACTAGTGGTCTTAAAAACAAGCACACAAAGACGCTTCAGCGATGTATCACTGCTCCCGTTTCATTTTTATAAGGCAATGCTGTACGCCAAGTAATCCAAATGTGATGTATCTGGAATATTTTTTAGTAAACCTTTCAAGGGGAATACATTTAGAATTTTTGTGAGCGCATCTGTGCTTTGCTTTAGAGATGATTTATGCAACCACCGTTCAGTTTCTGCACATATTTACCTCATATCACCTTCATACATCAATAATATACATAAAAACAGTAATTTCCACCTAAAAATTACATTAGGAATCACTCTTAGTCCTTTTTTTCCAAGCATATAATCTGACTGGTCGTATCAACAGCCCGAATAAACAAATGTCTTTCAAGTGCTCAGACAGACCACATTCTCTTCAGCAATTCAATTTCCTGTCACTTGTGTGGGCGTTGACCTGTGTTGTCCATGTAGGGATTGGCCAATGTGACGTGGTGTTTGTCTGATTGTGACTGGTGGTTGGTCAGAAGGGTTAATGAGCCTTTTGAGTGATGCCAACCCCTAGTGGGAGGTGTTTAATTGACCAGGGTGGCTAGGTGACTTCACACAACCTCTTCTCTTTTTTTTAAAGTGAACATGTTGGATTTAGTTTCAGTGCAGTTGGTCATTTATTATTATTGTATATCAATACATATATACTTAATTGCAGGAGAAATACCAGACTAGTTTACAAATATAATTGAGATATTCTTCATTTGTTTGCTATAATTGTGTTTCATAATCACAAGGTTTAGAGAGGAATTTTCTCTCATGTCAGGTGTTTCAAATGCTCATCTCTCCAAATGTTTGATTGTGGGTTTAGACAAACTGAAGTCAGGGGTCGTGCTTTCATGTGTCAAACGGATCAGTGTTATGATCCTTGCTTGTTAAACATTATGAGCTCTAGCCGCCATATTGTTTGCAAATATATTCAATAGTCCAAGGTCATGCAATCTTGCCCCAGTTTGTAGATGTTTCCATAATTAGCGTGTACTTTTTACTCATATCTGTAGCAGTACAAGATTTCCCTTAATTCAGCTTCAAGTGAAGCGAGGTCAGGCTGGACCATGTAGCACGGCACAACAGATTTACACAGATTCTTCAGCCGAGGTCTCATTAGAGAAGGGTTGGTTGCAGAACAAGGACACACTGGGCTTCCTCGTGTATTAGAGACTCATCACTTACCTTTGAGATACATCATGATGCTAGCTCTTAACTGAACCACAGAAGGAGATGTTTGAGTGTTTCATATGTGTTGCAACTTACTGCACGCTGCCTCACATAGTGTTTATGCTGTGCGCTATTCATCTATAACTATAGCATGGACCTTTGCATGTTAGCATTAGTTATAGAAACAGACAGGTGAGTGTGTATTACCATTCCTCAGGCTCCCAAAAGATAAATACAATTCCTTTAAATTATTTATCATAATATCTTGAATTGATAAAAAAAAAAAAAAAAAGGTTTTTATTATAATCGATTGGAGAAATAAATTATTTGTTTGGATTTTTGTGTTAGGAAGTTGTACTGTTTATGGTTTGACAAACTGCGGCTCAAAGGCTGAAAACCATAAATAGAACAAGCACAGTTTTCTGACTGACCATAGAACAGATATACACAATGTAATGTCATCATTTGGAAATTTTAGACAGAATACTTTAAAAGACTCATTTAAGATGTATAATCGGTAAAAAGCCAGGCAGTAATGCTGGTGTTCCAGGTGAGGCTAGATATCATTTAGCTGGATTACTTAGTCGACTGTTCTCACCCTCACTTGCTTTACTGAGCTCCTATTTCATTTATTTTTGAAAACAAACTTAATGATCATAACTGGTCATTGGTACACAACTTGGAATAGAAAACAGTATATTAACCATTAGTCTTGTCTAGCTGTTTCTCCAGCAGGCATTAGGCATTTTTTGATTTTATTTGTTTTCTTGGTGTTTTCTTTTGTGTTCCTTGCTGTGTTGTTAAATGAACAAGAGGTTGAAAGATCAGATTCTTGTCTAAACTTCCTCTAAGCTTAAGCCAGAAATATTTATTGCTACAAAGGTTGTTTTTTTGTGTGTTTTTCTTTAGTTCATTTTGGCTGGGCTTTTGTATGACTCAGTAGATATTGTTACTTACTATATCTGTACAGGCTACTCTGGTTCATCCATGAAGCTTTAAAACACATTTATAATTTAGCAATGTAACCACCAAATTTGACATGTAAAAGACAATCCTGTTTTAATGCGCATGTCAGGTGTCACATCATTACTTTTGACTGCCAGGCTTCGTTAACTCCAGCAGTTAAGTGTACACCGTGTGGCTGAGTGTCTTGTCTTCTCCCACCAGCTGTCCAGTTTTTTTCAGAACTCACATTATTAGATTCTGTTTTTTTACTTTTTCAGCACTGAGGCCATTCTTCAATGACCCAGCGAGCTACAGAAATTGTAATTTAGAATCTTCTGCAACACACTCAGTGTTTTACATCAATTATGGACAATTACCAAAATAACCATCAACAGATTGTTGTCTAGCTGTGGAAGTGGCAATCCAGATTGTGAGCCTCTCCCTCCCGCTCTCTGCTCTCTCAGAGTCTAAATCAATGCAGATGTTCCGGTATGGTCTCGCAGCGATAATTACTGTAACAAGCAAATCATTAGTATGTGAATAGAGGCAGCTTATACAAATACACCACCGGGTGTTACTTTCACTTGTTAATACTTCTCTCATTATACTTTTGGCGATTTGTGAGTCAACATGATGCAATAAGAACTTGCAAGAGAGTTAAAGCTTTTTTCCTGCTCTGAGAAAAGCCAAGGTGTTCATTATCGCTGTGAAATCCCATTTAAACAGCAATGTGTAGCCTTAGGTTTTTATGGATTTCTTCTTACTCTTTATCATGTATGAAGTTTGTCTGCAGAGGGTTTCTCTCCTTGTAAGATGCATTCTGTCTGAAATAGCTTTTCTATACTAAGGCTGTGCAGAAGTGTTTACATAAAGATCATTCTTGGATTTTCTGTGCCTCAAGTAATTTGTTTGTAAAATGAATTTGTAAAAAAAGAAAAATCTTACATGCAAATATGTAAACAGTATCCACTGGAGTCAAAGGTATTAATGCTATTAGTTTTGTTGTAGTAAGACAAGAGGCTAACATCATGATGTTTTGAGATATTCCGTTTAGTTTTTCATCTCCAGATTAAACCCAACAGGCTCTTTGACTTTTAAACCATCACCTGTTTTTAACTTCCTCTCACTATCTAATTGAAGGACAGTTCAGCACACAGCGTTCTGTGCTTATCATTATTCTGGTGCATGAGGGATTTGCATGCTTTTTACATCCTTCTCTATTGTAGCAGCTCCCAAAGGGGGACAGAGCCTGTGTTCTGCTGCCGGTCAGGAAAATACAAACAGTGAAGTATTGTGACTGTATCAGACCAGCTGGCTTTGTGTTTGTGAATTCTGCGGCCTGCAGAGATCGTCTGCTCCACACCTCAAGATGTCCTTTAACGACAAGCGATTAGGCGTGTAACTTCTTACTGCATTACTGTATACTTGTGATTTTAACTTTGTCTTTTTGTTTTTCTAAAACCAACAGGCCAAAACCCAAGACAAGAGTTTTTTGTTTCGAAAGATAAAAGTGTTATTTGGGCAGTTTTGGTTTTCTAAACGAGAAAGAGTGTGTGAATTAATGCAAAGATACAAGTCTCTTTTTTTACAAGTTCATATTTTGACAGTTAATTTCACTGAAGAAAAAGCTATTTGCTTTTTTGCACTAATGATTCTTTCAGTAATTTAGTTTGAGGGTTTTTTTTTTAGGAGATCTTTATTCTTAAAGGAGGAAAAGTCAAAACAGTCCTCCACTCAAGTACGGCACTCCCTCTTTGTGTTGTCATAGAAACATTCCTTCATACACTTTCTTTCTGTGTATAGCTTATAATAAACTAAAGACAGTCAAATTCGCAAATCATTAGGACCTGAGAAAAAGAAAATGATAGTATTGAGTTCTGAAATAACATTTTAATCGCAGCTTGAGCCCTAAGTTTGTTTTAGCAGAAACACCTCTCCAGTATTGCAAATAAACATACATAATTGCATTGTTCTTTATTCTGTAATTATCCTACTGTGGCATGTTAAGATTTAAGTGTTTATTTTTGACAGACAGCTGCCCCCATATGGAAGCCAAAAAC